GGGGTTTAGGGGTTTCGGGGTTAAAGGGGTTTAGGGTTTAGGGAAGCCTTTCAAAACCCTATCCTTAGGGGCTGAGTAGGTAACGTTCGACTTTTTGGGGCTTTATATAACCCTAAAGTTCATAGATCAACCTTTTTCGTGCTAGGGTACTCAGCCCGTAAGCATCAAACGCTGTAAGGCCTTGATAATTAGAATGGTGCTAATAGTTAGAATTGGGTTTAGATGGTCTTCTATACTTGCAGTAAGGAACTATGTGCTATTCTTTGCGATTCTTTATTGTGTTTTTTGACAAGCTCAATTCTGATTGTTGGGGCACCTCTTTTAAGGTGTAGGGTTCACGGGTAATTCAGTCCGAAACTCAGATCTGTTTCCCAGTGAGGACAATGATCTCGGACATGATCACCACCATGCAGGCCTGACCAGTAGCCGCGAGATGAGATCTACCGTTTGTGTACAGGGGTGAGGTTTTTTTGGGTTTCGCATGTTGAGGGCTTAAGGGCTACGACCTAAAGGCTAAACGGTGTGCAGCATTAAGGTTTGGGATGTGTGTTATGGGTGTTCATGCCTCTGTGTGTGTGTGTGCGCGTCTGCAGGCCCTGCATTCGAAACCCTAAACCCTAAACCCCCTAAACCCCCTAAACCCTGTTTCTGAGCTGCACCCGAGACGGAAACACCAAAGCGAGCTTCCCGCCCCCGGAAGGAGAACCTTCAGGCGGAGGCCACGAAGAAGGCGCTGCGGGATTTTGGGGATTCATGCGACCTTTCAGGGCGTTTTTATTGGGTTTCGGTTGTAGGTTCTAGGGATGCAAGGGTTTAGGGGTGTAGGTTTCAGGTTTTAGGATAAAAGGGTTTAGGCGTTGAAGTTGAGGGGTTTTAGGACATAGTGGTTTAAGGGCGCCTTCAGGGTGAGTGGCCGGTTTGCGGTTGAGGGTTCAGGGGTCAGCTACCCTACTATAGGAGCCTAAATAATTACCAATCTTATTTTGTAGGGCTCGAATCGCTGGCGTAGCGGCCAGAATATCTGTAGCCCCAAGCACCACACGGTGCGCATTTTGATAGGTCGCTGCCATAGGCCTGCCTCGCTCACCCGCCTGGCATCACAACTTTCGTCGACTACGGGCACGCGGACGTGAACGCTACCGCGAGGGACGGCTCCTCACGGCAAAGCAGTCAGCTGC